AGTGCACAAACTCCATAATTTCTTTCTTTGCCTCATCATAACCAACAACATCTTTAAAAAAGACCTGAGATAGCAAGTAAAACATTGCAAGAATTATCACAATGTTTACTATTTAACACACATTTTGTATGAGTATGACAACAGAGTTATAAAGTTCCAAAGAAAACTTCTAATGATGATTTACCTTGTCTTTTGCATTCTTATCCATTTTGGTAATCTGAGCCTTGCCCATATTGAATATTCCACGACCACCTCGGCCCCCAGGACCACCAACTCCAAAACCACTTTGCATTTTTCTCCCCATAAACCATAAGGACCCTAAGATTAAGAGTGTGGGCCCAAAGCGTATTAACTCTTGGAACCAGTTTACTTCACTTAGATAGGTTACAGGAACATGATTATGAGGATCTATCCCCAATGCTTAGGGCCTCTAGCTTCTCCTCAAAAGATTCAACACTTCCTATGTTAAAGTAGTACTTATATTGACTTGTCTTTCTTCGGGCAGGGCTACCATTTATTGGAGCTTCTACAACGTCATCAGTTGTTTGATTTACATTGCTTGGTGAGCTCCTCACATACACTTTTGCATCTGATTTATTTGAAACAACAATTTTTTCCACCAAGCCAGGTTCCAGTAGTTTGTTTTTGAACTCTTGGAAACTAATCTGAAGAACACACCAAACAACTTAAAGAAGAGAAAATTTGAAAAGCGAGAAAACTGGAAACTAAAACAGTTGCAGGGGGACAAAACCTCTATTTTTTTTCTTTTTTTCTGGGGGAGCAGAATCAGATGGAAGCTTAAACCTATCCTAAGGCATATATATTTTTTCCACCTGATAGTGGTCTCGTATTTTGCTAGTATAGCCCATGAAACGCACCTGTTCCTAGTTCTGGTTTCAACCTTTTGTTTAATTGAACTTAGGTTTTTAAGCGTGTCATAATTACATTCTTAAACATAAGTGATATATAGATGTAAAGGGATTAAGCTAAGTCCAAGAAGTTTCACGAAGACCAACTGCAACAAGAACCATGAAGATTATCAGTTTCACTAGAACGAGAAAGACAAGTTCACTTTCAGAGAGCCAATAAACTCTATCATTCAATGGACTAATTCATCTAACTTCATGTTTTGTAACAGAAAGAACAATGAAAGGATATCTCAAGTTCTAGCATGCCATGAAAATGTTATCATCAAGGTGGTGCCTTGTAACAATGATGCAGGAGTATCCAAGATTATTTTATTTTTAGGATTAGTTTTTTATTATCAGTTTTATGTTAGTTTTTTTTTAAATTTATCTTGTGTTCTTTTAAATAGTAATGTGATTAGCATAGGACACTTGGTAAAAGTTCTGATACAACTATTCTACAATTAATGAGAGTTATACTATAAATACTATACTAGAAGGTTTAGTGGAATATTATTATCATTAAGAGTATTTCAATAGAATTGGTTGCTGGAAATCCCATAACCTTTTTTTTCCCAAACTCAATTAGGTTTATCATCTTCTTTCAATTTTCTTTGCTGTTTAGACTTTCTTCTCCATCCAAAGCAATAGATTGTTTAAGAACCAGTCTAACTAGCTTTGAAAACAAAAAGCTAACCTCCTGCTGCTCTCGAGGACCTGATATTGATGAGAATGTAATCCCAACCAACAATAAAGTGGTGACAATGTTCTGCACCAATTTTTGAATGTTCGGGGAATTCCCAGGTTCACCAGAACTTGAATCCTCTGGAAAATCACATAAAAAAGGCTTGAATTATTTAAACACAGTCACCAAGAAGCCTTGAATTTAGACAACATCTCCTAAATATGATGTCACAAAAATTAGAAAAATAATAGCAACACGCATTATAAAAAAGCTGTAAATAAATCAACAGCTCTCACCAGTTTCAATATTTTAACTAAATCAGACGGTAATACTTTCCCTACTATCAAAGTTCTAATTCACCACGGCAATTAGTATTATCTATTCAAACGTACCTTTGGATCCAGATTTCTGTTCATCAGCCTTAGGAATATCTTTCTTGTTCTTGGGAAAGTAATTTTCAAAATCTACAACAATTCAAATAAAAAAGGAATAAAAGTTAGATAATAAGCACACACAAAAAAACACGCACTAACGATAATTAATACACTCACTTCTTTTCTTAGGTCCTTCACTAGATAAAAATCGCCTAATCCTAGGGTTTGCGAGAATAGAATCCAAATTCGACAATCGTGTATTGGAAATAAGTCCAGATGGTGCCGGAAAACCCCTTACAAGCCCTAGCCCTTGATTAACGAGTGTAACGCTTGGAACAGTCGGTAACAGATTCCTCGATATACCATTCTGTTTATTAAATGAAAACGAGCATTCGTATCATTAAAAAACAACAAAAACGAGAGCATTACAAAATTAACAATATATACAGAATGCAGGAAATAACCATCATTACTGTTTGTAAATTAGAGCGAGAAGAGCGAAAGAGCAAGCGAGACAATCTAGAGAAAAACATTGTGAAGTATCAACGATGTTTCACATGAACCGAATCAGAAATGTTCAGTTAACTCTTAGGATGAGTTTTCTTCTTCTTTTTTCCGTTATGGGTTCTGTTCTATTGACGAGAAAAACTCTTTCTTTTCCTTTTTGTAATTTTATTTGGGTAAAGTACACAAATGATACCCAATTATAGGGCACTGCTTTTTTTATTCCCTCAACTATTAAAAGTTACAAAATGGTTCCTGATTATAGGGCAATATTTTGTTGAGTCCCTCAACTATTAAAAGTTACAAAATGGTCACCAACTAAAGAAATCGCTTTGTTGAATCTCTGACTATTAAAAGTTACAAAAAAGTCACCTGACTACTTGTATGTTCAAATATTGTCCTTTTTCGTTAAAATATTAACGTCCATCTGAATTGGACGTTAACTTGTTGATAAAAATTATATTTTAATGATACCTATCGGCAACATTGTTTCTTTCAATAACTAGCTTGACATCATAATGTTTCAAGTACTAGTTCAATGACATAATTTAAACATAAGCTCGATCAGCAAAATATAGCTTAAACAGTTCTGAGATTAAATTTTATCGTATCTCAATGAGCGTGTTAATTTTCATCTTAGACAATCATAAAAGGATGAGTTTAAAACATAGAATAATCAAATGACTATTTTGTAACTTTTGATAGTTGGGAGACTCAACAATGTAATGTCTTACAGTTGATAGTGCATTTTATAACTTTTAATAGTTATAGGGTTGAAAAAAGTAATATCTTTTAGTTGGGGGACCATTTTTACACTTTACCCATTTTATTTTGATTTTTGTTGAAGGCTGAAGACGTTAATTAGAAAACGAAAAAAAGGGGGAAACGTGGGATTTTGTTTTAGCAAAGTTCCGGGGGTGCTTGAACGGCCTTCTTTTATGAACGAATTTACGATTTCGGCCTTATTATTGAAGCGTTCCTGGGGTATTTTCAAAGGTGGATTTTGTCATTTTGAATTTAGATGCATTTAAGCTTCCTTTTAGGGGTTTTGTGGTGAGAGGCTAAATCCACACCTCTCTGTTGGGATCCATTAAAAATTGAATTGAATGTTAGTAACCAAATAGGTCATACTTTTTGGGCTTTCTAAAACTATCATTAGGCCATTTTCATGTGGCCACTTATCTTTCATATTTATATATTTTTACTCACTAAATTTAAAAAAAAAAATTGGTCACTTATATTATTGTTTTATTAATTTTTTATCACTGAAACGTTGAATACCGTTAGTTTGATGATGTTATATGTTAGTAAAGAGGTTTAAATTTTATTTTAACCCCTTTACTTTAGAAAATATATTAATCATAGTCCTATTTGTAAATCCAAAATAGTTCAAGGACAAAATTTCAATTTACTCTTTTTTAATATATTTTTCACCTCTGTCGAAGTCCAAGCTTTCCCATGCCGCACACCATTATCTGTCCCTAGGCTTCATCTTTCTCATCGTCGATCACTTGCTTTCAAGCAACCTTCACGAACATCTTAAAATCAGATCAAGAGACAAGAAAAAAAGTTGAATGTTGCAATGGGGTACTCTTGTCTCTCGATCTAACCGTTGTCGTATGTACCGGATCAGTTATCTTCATAAAGGTCACTTGAAAGTGGGTGACCGGCGACGAAAAAGATAAACCCTAGGGACGAACAAAGATGTGCAACGTGGGAATCCTTGGGCTTCGGCAGAGGTAAACAATCATATTAAAAAAACGATAAACTGAAAATTTGTACTGGACCTACAAAAATTTTCATAATAAGTATATATTTTAAGTAAAAATATTAAATTAAAAATTAAACCCTTTAAATAACATACAAGTCATCAAACAAACAACTCCTAACATTTCAGTGATCAAAACTTAATAAAAAAAAATAACATAAGGGATCCAAACATTACTTTTTAAATTCAATGAGTAAAAGTATACAAATATGAAAGATGAGTGACCAATTCATTAGTTTACCTTCTTTTTCTTAAGTACGATAAAGGAAAATTGTTGGTGTCTTTTTATCCAACTTACATCCGTTTTTTTCTAAATGGTTTTTTATATGGTAAAACTGGAAAGAATTGTTGGATTGGGTCAACTATTACCACAATTTTCCACTTAAACATTCAAACATGTTTTGGGATACAAAGCCAAGTTACATCCGCGATACCATTTTAAGTTGACACCAATAACAAGGATTCAAATTTTATAATGACTAATATAAGCAAAAAGCGAACATACAGCTTCAATTTTATCAAAGTACCAGTTCCTGTAACAATGTCCAACACATATATGAAGATACAAATGATAATAATTATTGACAACTTACAGCTTCAATTTTATCAAAGTACCTATTTCTAATATGACGGCTTTGCCCGGTTCATTGACAACCTTCTTTCACATCCTCGACGATTATTGCTTGTAGCAACAGTTTCAAGACTTACTCCGGTGCCAAAAAGTGATGGTCTTTTCCTACTTCCTTTTTTCTTTTTTCCATGGAGTTCCAAAAGGTGACAGAATACGTGCTAGGATAACTTAAAAGGGGATTACCAGATGTGATCACAAGGTAAGTATATACCGATCCCTCAAGCATCGCAAATTCATTATTGTCGAGGCAATGTAGAAAAAACGAAATTGAAACTTCATTTTGACGTTGATGAAGCAGATAATTTATTGCAAGCTGTGTGAAAACGAAGACCATTACCTATGTGTCTTGATACGGGGCATATCCAGAAGAAGATACTAGGACCCAATACCTAAAACAAACATATAAAATATGAGCTATAACAATGTTCCAGCTTTCTATATAAATGAGAATGAAACAAGGGAAAAAATGAACCAAGTTAATGATGTTCAATCTAGTGTTGGTCAACCTCAGCTGACCTAGTAGTAGATAATCAGGTCACCATAGTAGACAGGTTAATAATTGGCATAAACATTAATATTTTTTTTTTTTTGACATAAACCGACTTCTTACAATAAAATAAGATAAGAGGATATTTCAAACATCCAGAAGCTACAATCTAAAGCTCACAGTAAACAAGTGACGTTTCCTCAGAATTCATCAAGGCAAAAACCCTAATCACTAAGTCTTCTAAAATCCATCAATGCAATATCTTACATGCAGCAGCATATAAAATGGAAAGAGTATTCATTTCTAGTTATTACCGTTGTTAGATTTTCAAAGGCACCAAGATCATATGGATGTTTATAGACATTCCCTCCTTTCTCTGCAAGCCACATAGCTCTCACCCCTTCATGATACTGCCAATTTTAAAAATATATTTCAAGGAAATAAGTAAAAGAATTATTCTAAATGCAAATGTAAATTAGCAATAAGCACAATAAAATGTAAAACAATCCTAATTACCTCAATGGTCGTCTTATTTTGCAAAATAAGGTAAATATGCCAACCCAAGAGAACACTTAAAGCCATACTTAAGGGGACTAGCAACAGTCCAGAAATAACCTGCAAATGGTAAGTTATAAGCATAACACGAATATAGTAAACTCTAGCTCTAAAAGGTAGGTAATCATTGATGTTACATATGCGATTCTGAAAGAGTCTGCACTTTGCTGCTTATCATTATGGGAATCATTAGTTAAGCTCCCCAAAAGTAATACCTGCCATTTAAGAGAACATAAGATACAAATGAGAAAAGAACCATGACATAAATCAATCCAAAGGAAGAAGAGGTACTTAGTGCAAGGCAATAAGTATGTTATAGGAGCATAAGAAAGTTCTTAAATAAATCAGAAAAGACAGTTTAAAGATCAAAGGAGAAATAAATCTGTTATTTCAGTATGACATACCAGGGAATAGATGCAAGCTATCACAGCATATACAACAAAGACGAAGAAAACCTTGTAGTTGGCGTGGCCGACGCAATTATTTATCCAAATGCAATGGTGATCCTTATAATAAAAAAGAGCACTTTTAGTGTATTATTATTAAATGTTGGATAATATGCCAGTATTATCATATTTGATCAACATTTATCATGTGAGAAACTTATTTTCTGGAATTATTATTCAAAAATGATAAATCTGAATACAGTATTCTGCAGATAGAATATACAGAATCTAAATCTTATCACACTATGTAATCTTATCATACTAGGTAATCTTATCTTTATCTAGTATTCTAGAATTTAAATAACCTATCTTAAGTACAAATATTTATCTGATAAACAGACCACTAAAAACAATACGCTTATCTACAGTAGTTAAAAAATATATCTAATATGATAATACTATCATATTATCCGACATTAAGGGCATTTGAGACATGCACGTATATTATAATAGATTGCATGTACCATTTTCAGAATGCATCTTTTGCAAACACGGCAGTGATGTGCACGAGGAGGCTTAAAACAAGAACACTTTTGGCAAAATCTCAAATCCCCTCCCTACAAAACATCCTGAAGAAAGGTCACTATCAAGAAATAGATGAACAAAATAAAGCCATGCAATCAAAACAAAAGGTCTATTAACCTCCCAAATGCAATAAAATTTCATCGACCACATTTATTTCTGATATTACAATGCTTGAAGCATACTTTCTAGAGTCAACCCAACTTAAGACGATAAGTTAAGGAGATAGCTTATACAATGTCTGTGCACGAGATTATTGTGAGGTGGATTCCGAGGTGCTGTAATTGTGAGGCTGATAAGTTAGCAAAGGAGGGGATTGGGTGATGGGATTTGTTGTTTTAGCGAGTTGTGGCGTTCAGTAGTTATGATTTTTAGCAGTGTGTTTAAGTTTTATGTATCTTGTAAGACTGTTTTTAAGTCTTATGTAATTCTTTTGCAATCAATAAAGTCTGGCACTCTTTTCCTCCTTCCGCTAGTTGGTTCTTACCATATGGTAAAGGACCTCTAAGAGGGAGGTTTTTAATGAGGCCATCTATTCCTATGAAAAAAAAAAGACGATTTAACTCCACTTACAAGTAAATTTTGTCCCATTGAGATTATTTTGACCTAAGACTTCTGCACAAATCCTTAAGAAGCATAAAAATCACAATCAATCTTCAAAAAGAAAACAAGATACAAGCAAACAGGGAAATCCAACTTTTTTTCAATTGTTCTGGTTCCAAGTAAAATCAACTTTAATATGTGGGATCAAACATGACGCACAATTATGTCAACACTCAACACATGCTTTTAAGTTATCCATTCATAACGGAGGTCTTCCACGGAAGCTGCTCTCAACCTGGCGTTGGGGGCAGCCTACTACCCTACCTCCCCTTACCCTATTACATATGGGAATAGGGTCAGCTAATTTTTTTTTATTTGACAAATAAGGAAATAGAACCTGACGGAAGACGACAAATGTTGTCTTGGTGATGGCAATAAAAGTACTGGTAGTTAAGAGAGAAATCAATGACAACTGGAGCATCAACATGAATCAAATGATGCCAAGCCAAAATAACAGTCTCCATTATGATTAATAATCAAATATCACATGACAGAATTCAATATGACTAAGACCAAATGTACAAACATGCCATAGCGACATTCTCTAAACCTTGCTGCAATGGTAAGGCCTTTCTATCATGCAGCATATCAATCAAACCCCTAATACAGGACAGCTAATGGGCTTAGTTTTAAAATCTTTCTTTCACACACTAATGAACCAAATATTTTGACTCAATTTTCTAAAAAGGCCATCTACTGATCATCAGAGCTAAGAATGTCTTTTGCCAATGCATTTTGCTCGTGTCCATATTTGGGGATCTTTGACACAATAAGAACATAATTATAAAAGCATTCCATTCGGGTAAATAAAAATCACATTTTTCCAAAACTTCTACCAAATCCAAGCACACTTAGAGAACCAAAGATCTTTTTTGTCACCTCATGCAAAATTTGCTAATCTATTCCAACTCCAAAATCGGCTATTTTGCATGCAATAATCATGAAAAAGCAAAAATAAAAATAAATTAATCTCTTCATTTCTAACAAACCAAAATTGGAGAATTAGTATTTTTTTTATTAAAAACATAAAACTTCATCCAAATTATAATTTTAAAAAAAATCAATCTTCGTCGTAGTTCAGACAGGAAACATAAGCATCCTCAGCAGAAAAAACAATCAAGCCTTCTGTCTGATTTTTCAGCGTACCTTGCGTTTTATCTCATGGATAGGAACTCCGGGATCTTCAATATCGGGCATGAAAGAAGACGGAACCCGACCCGGATCCGCGAAGATGGCAAAGGTGTAATTCAACACACACATGAAGGAAATACTGGTAAAAGCGACGGCGTTCATGATACCAGGGGAGGTCATTAGACCAAGCCAGCGATCAATGAAAATGAAGACCGTACAATAGTAAATAAAAACGATGGCCGAGAAGACAACGGTTACAGAAAAGCTGAAGCCTCGCTTCATGGTTTTTAGATGCCTTTACTAGGAATGTTCGGTCCGATTGGAAGAAACGCCGGCGTTACAAACGACGGCGCCTCCGGCGGTGGGGAATTCCGAGGTGGATCTTTTCCCCTTTTATTTTTCAATTTTTTTTGTTTGCAGGGAAAAGTTGGAGCTTTAATCCGGAGGGTCTAGATGCGGCGAAATGCGGTGTCGTTGAAGTTTTTTCTTTCCATTTTACACGAATGCCCCTTTAATTTCTTCCAATTTTTCAGATTGGATTCTTCTAAAATTTTGTTTTATATTTTGGTAATTTGTTTCGCTGGGCTACTTCAATTTGGTAACTTCATATCTAATGCTGATCGTTTTATGTGGTTAGGTATCTTCAAATTTAATTCATGTAACTATTTATAATGATTGAAGTTGAATTTTTTTATGTATTATCATTGTATCTATTTTTGTTTAGTAATTTTATTTTTATTAATAGTTAATTTTTTAATATAAAAAATTAATTTAATATCAATTTAATTTAAAAAATCTCTTTTCTTAAATACTATTAGCTGTAATTTTTTTTGACAATATAGAAGCTACTAGTTTTATTAAAATAGAAAAATATTTAAATTACAATAAAAATTTACAACCATAATCATAAACTAAAAACACATAATAAGAATATTTTTCATATAATCAATCATTAACACAATAAATTAGTCACTTCTTATCACACAATGATCATATAAGAAAACTGTTAAAAACCTAATCAAATAAACTCGAATAAAAGTACGATATAAACAGATCTGATTGCATCGATAAACGAATCACAGAAGTAAATCAAGCTATTGAAATATTACTGATAAACCAAAAATCAGAATCGAGCGAGGTGAACCCAATCCAAGTGTCCAAAGCATAATACATCAAAAATAATAGTCAAACGATTGAAAAAGTGTCAAAAGACGGAGGAAATGTATCATGAATGAAGAGAAAAATGTGTCATAAAAGAACAACTATTAAAAATTAAAAACAAGAAAAAACAAATATACCACATAATAAAATAAAGAAAAATAATGAATATCTACTGTTGAAGACCAATTCTAATACTAATATAGTCACCGATTAAAAATATAAATAATAATAATAATAATAATTAACGGTAACACGAGAGAAAACTAGGGTTAAAAACGCATACAATCCTTTATTATGTTTAGTATTAGCTGCACTTAATATTTATTGATGATCCTTATTCTTATTAATAATTAGATTTCTTAATGTTATGCGTTAACCGGATACTAATTCAACTAAGGGTCTGTTTGTTTCCCGTAATTCGAATTACGGAATTGGTTTTCCCCGAATTTCAGTGTTTGTTTCACGTAATTCGTTTTCCGGAAAATGTTTTCCCGTGTTTGTTTCACGTAATTCGTTTTCCGGAAAACATTTTCCCGTGTTTGTTTCACGTAATTCGTTTTCCGGAATGTAATTCATTTTCCTAGTAACAGAATTTCCTTTGTGTTTTCTGTAAAATGACTTACGGATTCATTTTCCGTAAGTCATTTTCCGAACTTTTCACTTCAAAGCAAAAATACTCAAAATAATTTTATTTTATGAATTTAATATTAATAAAATATTTTAATATCATTTTCATCAAAATATTAATTATTAAAATATTTAAAAATATTTATTAATATTTATAATAATAATATTATATTTTTAATATTATATAAAATAATCAATTATATTATATAATATAAGATATTATATTTTTATTTTAATAATATATAATAATTTTTTTATATATTTAATAATGAATAATATTATTTATATATTTCAATAATATTTTAGTAAAGATATTAAATATACTAATTAATATAAATTAATAACTATAATATTTATATATAATTAATTAAATAATTTATAAAATTTTATTTCACTAAAATATACCGAAAAAATGTTTAAATAACATCTTCCAAACATCATAAAACGTTTTCCAGATGTTTTCCAGAAATGTAATTCATTTTCCAGAAATGTAATTCATTTTACAGAAATGTAATTCATTTTCCAGAATTCAAATTCCAGTAATTCATTTTCCAGTAATTCAAATTCCAGTAATTCAAATTCCAGTAATTCATTTTCTGGAAAACCAATTACAGCTAAACAAACAGACCCTAAATGAAATCAAAAAACAATTTCTTTAAATATTACTAAAATATTTTTTTGCCATTTCATATATTTATAAAATTGAAATAATTAAACATTCTTATTAAAGGAATAAATACAAAATTAATTAATTTATATATAATTTTTTTTATTTATATATCATCTTTGGAATAGATTTTTACAAATATATTCATTTATATTAATTTTACAAACCTAACATATGTATGTGTTGTTTAGGTTGTATACACGTTCACCTTAAAATATGAATTCCTTTATATTAATTGTTTATTTTACTTCCTTGGAGGAAGGTTGGGCATTTTCTTAGCTCCACCCGACTTTCTAAAAGCCTTACTCCCGAAAACCAAGAACCCAATCGCATGTCCAAAAACGGCAGCGAGGAAAACACCGCCGTTAAACGACATGACAGCCAGCATCACCATATAGCTCAACCCTGCTCGTGCTGTGTGCATGGCCGTCTGAAAGAATCCGGCGGCGACTTTATTTGCCCCGGGCTTGATGATGTTGCAATAAGAGAGCCATTCCACGATCATTGCCAACACAAATACGAAGATCAAGGCCAGAGCATACATGCCGGAGCTGCAACCGGGCCAACCGGAGAAGAGGATTTCGGATTTATGACCCCAATGGAAACTCATATGAAAGAGTGAGTTTCGATGAACGTGGAGCCCCGAGGTGTTCGAAGTCGACGTCGTTTCAACCATGTTGGTCATCCTCATGCCATCAGCTTCATTGAATTGGTTTGGTTGTAATGGGATTTTAAAGAAGAGTAATTTGGAATATGTTGAAAAACTCGTTTGAAAGCAATCCCAACATGGAACTGTCACAGCAGATTTTATTCTCTTTTCTTCAGATCTCTTAATAAGAAATTAACTACTTTAACTTTATTGATTAATCCTACCATTCTATTCTATGTTTTGTTCAAGGAAAAATATTTGGCTCTGGCTTTATGCTATGTGGCATCTTCAATTTTGTTACGAAAGGCAACCCATCCCCAAGATCTTAATCCTTTGTAATACTTAAAAAAATAAATAAATAAAGTACATAGTCCATCGACTATAAGATGTTACTTTGTTAAGTCTTTGACTATTAAAAGTTATAAAATAGTTCCATGATTATAGGACGTTGCTTTGTTAAGTCTATCAACTATTAAAAGTTACAAAATGATTATCCGATTATTCATTATGTTCCAAATTCGTCCTTTTCGGGTTGGGTCGGGTTGACCAAAAACCTTAATCAACCCGACCCGTGTCATCTCTATTTGAGATTATAAGAACAAATTTTATCATATCTCAATCAGTAAGTTTAATGTCCAGCTCAGATTGTCATCAATTTTTTAACAGAAAATGACGAGTTTGGAACATATGAATAGTTGGATGACCATTTTGTAACTTTTAATAGTTGAGGACTTAACAAAGAATCACCTTATAGTTGAGGAATCATTTTGTAACTTTTAATAGTTAGGAGACTCGACAAAATAATGATCTATAGTCAAAGGACTATTTTTGTATTTTACCCAAAAAATTCCTTTTGTTAACCTAGTCTTCAATTTACAACCTCTATCGGGCATATTATTATAGAGCTCTAATTTTACAAAACATAATCCTTTCATTAATAGCTTAATCTAAAAATAAGAGCTTAAACTATACTCTAAGTTAATTTTAGGTGTCTAAAATTTCTAATGTTACACTTTTAGGTCCATAATGGTTTTTGTATCAAATTTTTAGGTGTCTACGCAATAACAACCGTTAAAAAAAATAACAACCAAACAACCCTGAGAAAAAATAAGTTCCTAACATTTTTTCTATCTTTGATTAATGGTGTCGATGTCAAATCTAACCTTGAAAAAAAAGATAAACTAAAACAAAAGCCAAAAAACAAAAAATGTGTCGTAAAAACAGATGACAACGTACTATAAAAGTAGAATCATTAAAAACTAGAATAAAAAAAAGGAAAAACAAAGATATGATATAAAAATCAATAGAAAAATAAGAAAAAATAATTTAAACCTTAAATATACTAATTTTCTCACCTTGCATTCTAAATTACTTTTTAGTTTACCTCTTAAACTATGTTCTTTTTTTTCTAATTTTTCCCTAAAACCATCATTTTTATCTCATTACCCAAAAACGAAAAATAATGTCCAAATAATAGCGTGGCACATTAATGTTTTTATTGATTGCCTTTTTATTTTGAAGTAAAAAGATAATCTAGAGTGCAAAGTGAGGAAAAAACAACAACAAATATATTTCAAGAAATAAATTGAGAATTAAGCCTTAATTCAGCCATCACCTTCTTTTGCTCTAGTTCTACGTATTAGGTTTCCTTTTCGTTTTAGCGAGGAAAAATATTATATTTTTTCTTGGGTAAATTATGTATTTAGTCACCATCTATTCTTATAGTTCCGTTTTGGTTACCCAAATTTTTTTTAAATTATATCTAATGTTACGTTTTAGTTCTGTTTTGATCACTTATAGTTAAAAATTGATGGTGATGCTGACGTGTGATCATAAGGTATCACATCATTATTGGGAAAAAATTATCACGTCAATAGTTCTGTTTACTTTTTAATGGAGGTGACTAAAATAGAACCAAAACATAGTGTTACTTATGATTCTAAAATAATAATAATTGAGTGATCAAAATAGAACCGTGAGAGTAAATGGGTGACTAAATATGTAATTTACTCTTTGTTTTTTCTACGGAGAACTAACTGCCATAAGTAGCATAAACGTAAAACTTTGGTTATTAATACGTAATCATGATAGAAAGGACACATAGCAGCATAAATAAGGTTAGAGAATTTTTGATCTAAATATTAATATTTAACATGATTTTCAGAATCGGATCGATTAGCGAACCGATTATATTATCGGTTTATTGGTTAAACCGGTTAAACCGGACGACATCATAATTATGTAAAAAATTAAATAAAAATACTAAAAATATTTAATAAAAAATAATTTTTTATATCACAAGTCATATTCAAAGCAATTCATAACATATATAAGTTAAAAATCATAAAATCATATTAAACAAAATTATTCAAATTAACTACAACATAATATTTAAGGTAAAACATATTAAATAATAAATATAATTATATAACTATAATTAAAAAATAAATTTGGGGTTAAAAAATCATAACAAAATGATATTGTTTAGTTTAATTTTTTTTAAAAAATAATCTCACATGGCTAAGAAACATAGAAGAGCATCCCAAAAGTCTAAAGAGTAAAAATATGATAACAAAACAATATCACATAGCTAAGAAACATAGAAGAGCATCTCAACTAACTTCTATAAATAATAGAGGTAATTTGACATTCAAAATCATGGAGCCTTTTGGTGAGCATTGAGTGAATTATTCTTTTACTTCAATTAAGCTCGAATTTTAGGCTTCAATCGAGCTTCTAAATTTTTTTTGAGTTCAAGCATTTTCGAGTTCAATTTTTAATATTATATTTCGAGTTCGATTTGAACTTGATAATTTTTAGCTCGTGAGTTTGAGTCGAGTTGAGCTTACTTTTAAAATTTTCAAGTTCGAGTCGAGCTCAGCATTACTCGAGTTTGACTTGGCTCGTTTAACAAACGATGTCGTTTGGTTTAATTTTAAAAAAACAAAATTGACGAATTTTTTCCCGTTTTTTTTTATTTTCAGCCGGTCCGGTTCGAACGGTTCAGCGGTTTTGGCCGGTTCACTAGTAACAATTCAACCGGTGTAGATTGAACCGGACTGGGCAACAATTCCCGGTTGAACCGGCCGGTTCGGCCCGGTTTTCAAAATACTGATATTTAACGTGTAAGTTGTGCACAAACAATAAACTCCCATAACAAAGGATAAATTTACACAATTGAATTTTTTTGATTAATTTTAAAAAGTCTATTACTTAATTACCGGAAACCTTATTCAATAAGCAAAGTTTGAACAAAGAGTTTGTATGTGTGATAAACTGGGCTCATAATTGATGAACTAAAAGGACCAATGATGCCCTAAACTCTTCTTGTGCTACCAAATTAGACAACCTCTTTGTATCCATTCAAAAAATGAGGTCCAAAAATGTAATAAAATATATGTTTGAATTGAAATTTGACCCTGACTTAAATTCTGATCTGTAATTTATCCCTCGATTTTTTTTGTCTATTTTGATTTTAACTTTGACTTTCTTTTAATAAAGAGAAGTTTAAGTCATAAGATTAACCAAGAATGCGTTTACAATAAGGGGGACAAAGATGTCCCAATCTAGGAGTTCTTGAATGGCCGGTGATGAACATGATTTGAGGCAAAATAGGACCTGGAAGCTTGGTTATACAATCAATAACCATGTTATATTCACGGGGTGTCCAAGTGATATCCGTAGCCCAGCTTCGATCATAGAGACGTTGGATGGCATGAACAAGAGAAATGAAGCTGGTCTGTGTTTTGGCTTCGAGAAGGAGCTTAATTGCCTCGAAACAATCGAATTAGACCTGTAAGAATTCAATACTAAGATGTCGTACTAATTTAAGGCCTTCGAAATAAATCCCATAAGTCCGCTCGGAGAATAGATGAAATCAAATATCCACGGATTTTTGAAACTCAGATATCCGGTTTCCTTCGTTGTCCCTAATAACTCCACCAATGGCACCGGAGTTGGTGAAAGGATCGATTGATGCATCTGTCTCTCATTAAAGTTGTCCTAGCTAATCTGTCTGTCTATTTCATGTCTATTTTCTTTATGCCAAAGGCTATTGCCGATCAGATCAATAGTCGCATAGCTAATTTTGTTTGGAATTCAAATTCGGAGAGGAGTATCCATTGAATTAAGTGGGACATGATATGTAAACCTAAATCCCATGGGGGGCTGGGCTTTTTTGATGTCAATATTAGGAATCGTTCCTTACTTAATAAATGGATTTGGAGGTATAGTGTGGAAAAGAACAGTTTATGGAGAAAAATTGTTGTAGCCAAATACAATTATGATCATGATACAATCTTGCCAAAAACTGTAAAGTATAAATCTTCTTCTTGGGTGTGGCGCAATATTGTGAATCCTTCGGGGTCTTTTGTGTCTGATTTTCTCAGTGATTTGAGGCTTGTAATGGGTAACGGGCATAATATAGATTTCTGGTTTGATTTCTGGACAGAAAAAATTTCTTTAAAATATTCTTTTCAGAGGATTTTCAGTCTTACGGTTAATAAATGTGGAAAGATTAAAGAATTCGGTTGTTGGGTCCTTGGTAGATGGGAATGGAGGATTGATTTGAGAATAGCTTTTTTTGAATGGGAAAAGCCTATTTGGAGTGAATTCATCCAGGTTTTATGTAACCTCCTCAGACCGATGCGGTAACCCGATTCGATCTGGAGTGTCACATTAGGGCCACCAGAGCGACCTACTGTAAAAATAGCGGAAAATTTAAAACTTTTTATCAAAACATGTAACTTATAAAATGATTTATCAGTATGCATAAATAAAACAGATTTTCAAACTCGTATATAAATAAAAATACAATTACATGCCCCCTAATCACATGTACCATACTCTGCAACCAACGCCGGAGGGATTCCTTTACTGAAGTCAATAACCGCACTGGTACAATTCTTTTAACCTGAAAAGGTGAGTAACAGAGTGAGCTTCGGAAAGCTCAGTAATACAAAACTACCAGATGATGTTGAAGAACATGCAGATACAGATAAACATATATTTCCTTGTCAGTTCAGACATTTACATATCTTTAT